GTCATCGATAGCGACGAGGAACCGAGCCGCGGCCGTGCAGAGTCCCTGCCGAAGAGGCGGAGGAGCCTGAGAAGACGATCCCGTCCGGCCTCGTGGCGAACCTCCTCAAGGAGATGTTCGCGCGGGAAGAGACGCGCATGACGGAGGGGGCGAGCCAGGCTGCGGCGCGGTACATTGATGTCTTTGTGCGGGAGGCTATTGCGCGGTGCGTGCATGAGCGCGAGGGGGGGTTCCTCGAGGTGAGACTTGATTGTTTTTCCCCCCTTCCGTGGATGTTTGGGGGGTCGAGTATATGTTGGAGGGGTTAATACTCGACTGCGTTACCTTGCTGACTGCCGTTTTTACAGGTTGATGATCTGGAGAAGATCTCGGCACAGCTGCTCATGGATTTCTGAGGTCTTGCACGTTCAGCTGGGGGTTGGTTGAAATGGCTTGCAATCTGCATCTTGGCTGGCTCACTAGGGATGACCTTGCGCAGGCGATGCCTCACGGGCGGTCGGCAGGAAGGGCATGATGCCACGGCTTGTCGGCAGGAAGGAGATGATCCACGGTTGTCGTGCCGAGCGCAACGCGCAGTCCTGCTATACCATCCATGAACGCGGCCGCCCAGACGGTATGACGGTGAGAGTCGCAACGGGCCACGGAACTTGACGGATTGTACGGCAGGGGGGATCTGTCGGCTGGGAGAGAACCGGGCAGCCAAGGCACGGAGGTCTTATGCGCTTGTTGGAGGCTTCCAGGCCAAAAGGGGGGGGGGGGGTTGACAAGACGTGCAGGGGAGATCCAGCCCGGGGTGGGTAGACCGGCTTTGCAGTGCCAACGGTTCCCGAGATTGGTGTATATAGTACCGTGGTACTATGGACAGGGCAGCGTCACGTCTTAGGCTGAGCAGATGGGTCGTTTGCTACGTGCATGGCTTGTTTTGCCAGTGTATGGATGGCCAATGAAGTTAGCTGGAGGGCTGCTCCACAGAGTTCAGGGTCAGTTGCACAGCCTGATCACAAAACAGCAGAAGGAGATGCAGATAATTAGCATGGCATGGAAAAAGACATCAAACTTGACGTGTGGGAGCTCAAGTTTGGCCCTGAGTTTTTTTTTTCCTTCACTGCGCACGCCAGCTGATGTCGACAGCTGCGACGAGACGGGCTTGACTCAGCACAGGGTGAGGGCCCAGAATCGACGGCGTGAACGGGGCTGACAGAAAGGCACTGGCGTACGCTGTTTTGATGCAAGCAACGATGTGAGGGACAATATGCGGCAACTTCACCTCATGCCGTGGGCCAGAACGTGTCACTCTTGGGATGCAACGACCTCCCTGCGGTTGGGAACGCAGACAGCCCAGGTCATTCTGGCCTTGGAGGCCGAGTCACATACCCGCTGTTCCTCGCGATGGACGACCTGATGGGGTGGCCGAACTGAAGCATCCGAAGTCCTGGGACATACTGGCAAAGAAACCAAAGGTGTTACGCGGCGTCAGGGAATCGACTGAAGTTGTCCTGGCAGCTGTTTGCGTTGATGACAATGTCAGGTGGTCAGGCGATGAGGCGACTAAGGAAGAATACAGACGAGACGAAGACGAGGCTGCGGCAGGGTTAGAGTGGTAGAGTTTCTGGGGTTGAGCATGTGCGTGCGACTGCGCTTTTTTCGTCGTTTCCAGATGGACACGATATCGGCATGGGATGTTTCGTTTCTCGAGGATGAGGATCGTGTAAGCGAACCACCACCCTACGAGCGGAAATTGGATCAGTATCGGTATTCTCGATGGTCCGACAGTGGTATCGCTGGGATACCACTTAACAGCCGACTTGGCGGGGCCCTGAGGTTTTGATCCCGGGGGGGGGGGGGGTGAGGGCGGAGCTGGATGGGTGACCTCAGAGACATAACGGCGTATATCGAGGATCGCGACAATGGAGTCGTGGCGGTCTGAACTCAGGCCACTCATCCCTATCCCCGTACAAGTCCAGCCGTGTGTGACGTCTTGGGCCAAACAGAGAGCAAATGGACCAATCCGGGACAGGGGAAGCAGCCTCGTAGCTTGGGCAAAGCACGGTCAGCAATAGCTCAGGACAAGAGGTTGCAGAGTTGCAGAGACGATGGGGTAGGGTGACGTTCAGTCGAGTTTGGAGGAGGTTTTATGAGACGGGGCCTGTTTTGTACGTGTCAGAGGGTGGTCGTGTGAAGCACATCCGAGCGGTACAACGCCCCTGAGTACGTACCCTTGGTCGCCCCACTCAGCCCCCCGGTGCCCCAGTGAACACGCAGCGACAAGGAGCCCTGTAGCGACCGCTGATGGGGGGATTGCTACAGCAGCGGCGGCAGCGAGCACTGCGGCTAGGGGAGTTCTTCCAGCGCTGTTAGTGGATCCCATGTGCAGTATGCCCCCCCACAACCTTATTTCGGCTTCGACATCGTCCGGTCTTTGACTTGTCCCTCCTCGGTCCCAACCTTGCTCACCATGACCATGACCATGACCATCTTCCTGGGATCCAGCATTGCATGTGCGTGCGGGGATACCCATTGAGAGGCAGCTGCGCGCAAGAAGCCTACACACCATGATTCGAGGACTGACGTTCGAGTATCGACATCGAGGTGACTTTCCCTGGCTCTTCGTGGCTTCATCGCCTTCTACCCCTCTTGACGATACCTGCAGCATGTCGACCGCCTAATTGCCTGCTTCGGCAGGCGAGTCGAACCTGCAAGTCCTATGAATCTCAGCTGGTGTCTCTCGATTCTGGCTGTTGCTGAAAAAGCTGGAGAAAACCCCCAGCCCAGCCTCGAGACATCGAATCAGTCCTGGTCCAAACGCGTTTCATCTCGACTCCCGCTTTTCTGGCCTACCCTTCAGTATGTCCCTGCGGCCGACACCCTGCAACACCAGCCCAGCCAAGCCCAGCTTGAGCCGCCTCGTCTGTCACAACGGCGATGCACTCGCCTCGCTCCCCTGCCCCTCATCTACCCCCCCGGCCTTGTCCACGGCCCACGCCCAGAACCTCAGACGCATCGCCCGTGGCAGATGTGCAGGGGTTCGTGTCTGGCCTCCCCTTCCTGGGACGATCCTAAGCTTTGCTTATAATCATGCCTTCTGCTGCTCTCACATCATGGCCGTTTCGTTCTCTTCTGCCCGCAACCCAGTGACCTTGACGAGTTCTGTTTCCTTTTCACGTCTTCTCTTTCTTTTTCTTCTCCATCAGTGTCTTCCTTCACTTCCTCAACACCCGTTCAACCACCACCTTTAATTCCACTTCGCCGCCGAAGCTAGTCCTTCGCAACCACAGCGCCAGCCGCTTTATTCTCTGTACTGCAGTGGTTCTCTGGAAGACCGGTCCGATCTTTTTTTCACGACGCACTATATCGTCCTCACACGTCAAAACGACATACACACCTAAAACAAAACACATATTGTCAAGATGCAGTTCTCATCAGTCATCCTCGCCGCCATCGCGTGTGCTGCGCAGGCTCAGGGTATGTTGCACATGGAGCAGATATCGTATGGCACCACCGCTAACACAACGACCAGCCATCGGTGTCCAGGCCGTCCAGGTTGCTTCCAACAACGGCTCCCTGACCTTCTCTCCCGAGAAGATCACTGCTCCTCCCGGCAGCATGGTTCAGTTCCAGTTCATGGGCGGCAACCACACCGTCACCCAGTCCACCTTTGACAGCCCCTGCCAGCCCATGGGCATCGTCCAGACCGACCCCAATTCGCCCCCCAAGGAAGGCATCTTTTCTGGCTACGTCCCCGTCGCCGCCTCGGCCAACATGGGCCAGCGCCCCGTCTTCAGCATCATGATCAACGACACCAAGCCCATCTGGCTCTACTGCCAGCAGGGCCCCCACTGCCAGCGCGGCATGTCCATGGTCATCAACGAAAGTGAGCCGACCGACGTGTGACCTTGCCCCTCTTTGTGAACCTTGACTGACCCGAGCCTCTCAGGCCCCGCAGCAACAACACCAAGACCCTGGCAAACTACAAGGCCGCCTGCCGCCGCCCTCGGTGGAGGCAACGCTTGGCCAGCCCGGCGAAACCAGCCTACCACCCCCGGCGGCGGCAACGGCAACGGCAACGGCCAGGGCGGCGACAACAACAACAACCAGAACCCCGGTGCCGGCGGTGCCCAGGGCGGCGGCAACAATGTCCCTGCGGCTGGCGCCTCGCTCGCCGTTCCCAGCTCGCTCCTGCTCGTCGCCGGTGCCGCGTTCATGCTGCTGTAAGGGGTCCCCTCGCAGCAGAAGACCGGGGGGTGGCAAGGCGCCGGGGTCGCGCGAGGTGGAGGCTAATACCAGATTCATCGCTGAAACGGCGTTTACTCGTTATATTATCATGACGTTACATATTCATGTGTCTTTTTTTTCTTACTTCTTTCCAATGTATGTCATCCGGCCAGAGAGAGGGTCGGTCGGTCGGTGGGTATGGCGGACGGGTTAGATACCCTGTGCGATACGTCTGTAAAAAGAGAGGTCCGAGAGGCCACTTGGTGGAGATGCATAATTTTTTTCGCTGGTTGTTTCAAGCGATGCTGTGATGAATGTGCTGTGAGGGGGGAGTGAGAGGGACGGATGTGTACACGGTGCAAATCAACAGGCTACATGAACCCTTGGGCATGTCCCCGAAATCAGGGTTCTTTTGAATAAATTTGTGTTTTCTCCAAAAGCATCATCCAGTCATCCATCATGTGCACGTCACGTCTGGAGCCACGGCTTGCCCGCCTTCTCCGCCTCCTTCTCCCTCTTCTTCGCCGCCCGCCTCTCCTCCTTGGCCTTCCTCTCCTCCTCCTCCTGGCCCGGCAGCTTCCTCTTGACGCGGCCCTTCTGCGCCTTGTCGCACAGGCGGGGCACGGGGCGCGCCGGCGGGCCAGCCCTCGGGGAGCCGCACGTAGCCGACGCGCTGGTACCTGTTCGCTGTTGCCGAAGAAGTCGACCCAGTGCTGCAGGGCGTCGTGGACCTTCTGGGCGGCGGCCTCGCGCTCGGCGGCGCGCAGCGCCTCGAGCTCGGCGTACGACCAGTGGCGGTCGACGTCGGCGTCGTCGAGGGGCAGGTACATGGTCTCGACGCCGCGCATGTCGGGCACGCGGTCCTCGGCGAAGCAGCCCGTGACGAAGGCGCGCGAGGCATCGTGCCCGGCGAAGAGGTGGTAGCTGCCGCCCGGGCCGTAGCTGCGCGGGTTCGCCGACACGTCGTAGATGGTGTGGTTGATGGCGAGGTAGATGGGTGTGTCGGGGGTCGTGCCGTCGTAGGCGCGGAGCTCGGCGGGGGTCAGGTAGAGGGGGCCGTTCTGGAGCGTCGGTCAGCTGGGAGGCCAGAGAGGCACAGCAGAGCGACAGCTAGGAGGGAGAGGGAGAGAGAGAGAGAGAGGGAGATGCATACCCAGCGCAGCTTCCAGTACGAGGGCCGCAGGTACCACGGCTTGTCGTCGAAGCCCCAGGTGAAGCTCTCGCCGCTGCTCATGACGTAGCTCAGGGCGCAGCTGGCGACGGCGAGGAAGCTGAGGACGCGCAGGACGTCAATCAACGGGCTGAAGGCATCGGTCTCGCCGTCGTCCGTCCGGGCGGCCTTGGCTTTTGTGCCCGTCTTGGCCTTGGACTTGGTCTTGCGACTGAGCTTCTCGGACGGGGTGCCGGCAAATAGGTTGTCGTCGTCCTCGGAGCCGCACTCTTCGTCGGGGACGATGGGGATGGCGACGGGCTCTTTCTTCCGCTGCCGGGCGGTGGTTGCTTCGGCCATGGCTGCGAGCGGTGTCGGTCTTGCACTTCGGGATTGGGGATCGAGGACGAAAGGAGGGGAAGTCGTTGGTGAGGGTGCGTGTCGGGTCGAGTATAAAGCTGGGTTTCGAACTGTCAGGCAAGGCGACGTGTAAGTGGGATTGGGAGCAATCTGATAGGGTGCCGGATGACCTGCATCCGAGAGACAGGAGGCGGATCAATTCGAGGACGACAGCACGGCTTCCACGGGTCGGCAGATGAATAAGGAAGAAATGGTCTGGAATCGGGGCAGTGCTCCACTGACGCGACAGCAGGCCAGGGCCAAGAGCAAGATCGCAAGGGCCTGCCTCAGGGATCTATGTCGAGGGAGTGTGTTTCCTCCTGAGAGGGTCAATTGCCAGCAATGGGGGTTACCGAGCTCCATCCAAAATAGGTACGTCCGTACGCAACTGATGAAGGAAGGGACTGCTCTGATGCAGGTAGTCAGCAGGCACTATAAAGCGTAGCCCTGGGGGCACGTTAGCAACCAAACTAAGCCAGATACAACAATACTTATCCACCTAATACAACTGTTTTTGGTGACCACAGCAGGGCGACCGTAATCAATGCCAGTTCCGACCTGGCTGCTGCATCTCGAGAAGTCCAAGTCAAGCATCGAGTCTACCGTACTACGCAAGCATAAAGAAAAGACGCTGAAAGCTGTTCAACCTGACTACCTACGGGTACTATACTACCGTCTCGCCTACTCAAAGTACACTACCGACAGTCACCTACGACTGAAGAGTACCTCGACCCGCTTGTGTTACCGTTGGTCCTTGCCCTGGTTATGAATAGATGCAATTCTCCGAGGAATGGAAGATGAATGTCTAGACGTGCGAAGATGATTATGGCTGTGGGCGTCCTCTTGTGAGGGGGTCACATGAAGGAAGGGCTATAATCTTGGGGTTCACCTGTCAGTGCCAGCGCTGTGATGGTTCCTCCTGCTTTCCTGCTCTCGCCTTGGATCTCCAGTGCTGAGATGGGTAGGTAGGTAGTGTAAGTCAATGTGATATATGTGATGGATGTCATCGGATGTGTTTCCTCTAGAGCCAAAGCTCTAAGGGCCACGAGAATCAGAGATGGATGATGTAAGGTATGATGGGGTAGGTGGCGAGTATCGGGCAGGTGGTGGTGGTGTATATGGGTGAGGGGAGGTGAAGGAAGAAGAAAAGAGAAGGTCCAATTTCCACTACTGAGTCCCCAGGCATGGTGTTGCAACTGCTCCTTCCCAAAGACCGTTCCCTGGTCAGGCATCCATCTCATCAATTCTCTATGAGCTGCACCAAGGAGCACATCTGCTGTCCAAGTGACCATCTTCCAATGTAATCACCTTCATCATCATGCCACAGCCGCCTTGACCCTGTCCCTTGGTCTTCTCTCCAGAGCCTCGCGACTCCTAGCATGAGCCGAGCTGAGGGGGGCTCAGTCGGGGAGTGGCTCAGCCGTCTAATATAGCCACCGGGTACGAAAACCCACAGTGGACATACCTCAGTGTTGTTCTTCAATTGGAGTGACCTTATCCTCGACCCCGTCGTCACATCGTACCATCAATTCGGGGTGCAGGAGGTGGTTTAGGTCACGAAGAACACAAACAGCGGCGAGGACGGTTGCCGATTATTTCAGCGAGGAAACATGAAGGCCGACATGACAAGCCACAGCTATCACAATACGAGTCATGGCTTTACGTCCGTCGTGAGTCCGCCGAAGGAACAACAGACCACGTCTCCCCAGTAAACTCCAGACGGCCATCCACCCTCAGCCTCTCCGGGTCCATATACACGCACATCCCAATGTCGCTACGTTCGATATTACACACACGTAGGATCATGTACACCTCATCATGCCCACGCGCATTGTGAATGTCTTGCATCTACAAGAACTGAGTCAGCAACAATCCAACAGCGGCTCTAGGGGCACCACTAGAATGGTCGACGGCGTAACGTACCCGCTGGTATTGAGCCTTGCTCATGTAGAAGGGCGTATTGTGAGGCCCTGTGGTTGTCTTGACTTCGATGTAGTACTTCGGCCGGGCATCCCGCCACCCTTCCCCGTCAAGATAGCCATGGTCCTTGAGCCATTTTGTGAGCTCACCACGCACGTCTTGGTACGTCATGTCGGCCGTCTCTCGCCCGTTCCAGGGCGGCATGTCCTGATAATCCGGGTGGAGCGTGACGTACCGCCGGATCGTGCTTTGCCAGTTATCGCGACTCCAGCCGTGGGGAGCGGGAGTTAGTCGAGACAGCAGCTCGAAGACCTGTATGGAACCGAGTGCATCTGATCAGCTTTTGATTCGGGTCGTTCGGCCCAGAGACTTTGGTCGTTCGGCCCAGAGACTTTGGTCTCTGGTGTTAGGGGGAACTCACGTATAGCTCACCGGCGGCACCAATTTTCCTGTCACGCTCAAGTTGACTCGTGGAGCGGAACCGGCTCTCGACGTCGGGGCCGTCAAAGCCGCCTTGCCAGGCGTCGATTGATCTTTCTGGAAGTGCGTCTCGGAGGTTGCTCATGTCGAAGATGCCTTGCGACGGGAACACGGCTTGTCTCGCCGCGTCGACGACCTTCGTCAGCAGCCGAAGGTACAGAGCATCCTCGCTCGTTGACCCTTGAAGAATCGTCGCATGATATGCTGAGGGCATAGAGTGTGGCTGGACAACTGAATGGTAGGCCATATGGCTACGTTGAGAGACCGTGTGGGTGACCTCGGCGTCGCTACTCGACAAGTCGGGATACGTTCCAGAAAGGGGCGCCAGTCGGGTCTCAGTCGGCATGGCCGGTTCTCGCTCGTTCGATGCCGTGTCCGGCGTCATGGGCTGCACCAGAGATTCAGCATCATCGCCCCTTCCGGCAACGGAAGCTTCATCCTCCTCATCTTCGGCCACATTCACGTCCTCGTTCGGGATGGAGATGTTTATGATGCTCAGGCGCTCAAGAAGTGCGTCGACCGACGCTGGATCGGCGCCCAAAATCGTCACAAGCGCTCGAACCGCGAATTCCTCAACTGCATCGGGAATCTGGGTCACAGGATCCCGCATCAGCCAACTCGCCAGATTTATGGGCAGAGCGCTCAGGTAGCAGATTTCTCTTGCTTTCTTGTGCCTCGGCACGAAGAAGGTGAGGTGCGACGAGCTGTCATCGATGTGCAGGTCACCAATGGCAGTCTCTAGCTCCGTAGACCGCCCGTCCTGGGATATCCGTAGCACGGACGAAATGCCGGTGGTTTCGGTGGTCACAGCGCTCCGCAGCAGCTGGTACAACTCGCTGGGTCCGGCTTTGTATCTGGGACTGTTAAAATGAGCCGCGATACTGGGCGAGTACGTCGGCGAATTAGTGACACAATAACCATGATCAGAAGTCATTGCGGAACGGGAACTCACCGAGAGATTGCATGCGCTTTCCGCTTGATATCGTGGATTGGGGTCGAGACGGGCCTCGAGTCGGCTTCGGCAACCGACGTGCTCTCCCTCACGGCAGCTGACAGATAATTATTCGCGAGTCCTACCCATCTGATAAAAGGCTTCAGACGCAGAACCTCCTCTCTGCTGAAGTCGAGCAACTTGATTCGGCTCCTGAACTTATCCGCCAATGACTCGTTATCAACGATGGCAAAACCCGCTCCGATCGTCCTCAGAGTTAAATTGCCACTCGCATACTTCACGGGGAAAATTGGTATTCTATGGAGCGGCACAGGATCAGGGAGCTCCTTCTCTGTCTGCAAGAGCGCATTCAGCGACCAGAGTGTGGCCTTGACATCGTCAATGGACGCCTGCGCATCTGTCTGCAGCAGCTCGTCATATACCATCTGGAGTGTTAGCGTCTTTACGCCGAGGTTTTCCACGAACAGTTCCCTCAGGTCTTCGTAGTCATCATTCAACGTGACCTTGCCACTGATGTCTGTCGTACTGGACCACAGGCAGTCAGACGTCTTGTACCAGCCGGCCTGACCGTCCTTTACGACGAATATAAGGGCGTCGTCCTCGAATGTTCGCCTATTCGCATCCGAATCAGTACTTGCGCAGAGGAAATTGGGGTTTCGAGTCCGCGACACGAGAATCTTGCCTTAATTCGTTTTGGAACGCGACGACCTTCAAGTTCGCGAGGTACAAGTAGAGGCCACGGATGCGGTCGAGGTCATCGCAGCCCTGATCCCTTAGTTTCGCCAGTTCTCCCCGCAGATCCCTCCAGGACACATCATCAATCTTGAGTGTTTTCGAAAAGAAACGTGAAAGAATCCTCATTTGATCCTTGTTGCCCACTTGGGAATAGAGGTGCTCGAGTGGGAATAACGAAACCATGCCGGATGGTGCCTTCCAGCGACAAGACGTGGCAGCTTTCCAGGTCGCCTCGGGTGCTCCTCGCGCCGGAATCAGGATGACAGCCTCTTCAGTCTCCCAGAATAAATGCCTACAAGAAGCGGATCAGTCAATGATTAAGAGCTTTCAAGAAGGGCTCATGGGAGTTGGAGTTGCGCACTCAATTGCGTCCTTGGCAGCTTGTCGATCTGTAGCGCCCTGAGATCTAGTTTCAATGGCGACATATAAATCCATTATCGTCCGGCACTTGTCGGTCAACGCACTCGTGGATTCGACGTTCGATATTCGAAAGAGCATGTCTAGGAGAAACCGCGTGTCGTCCTCTTTGCGCACTTGAAATTTCGTGTGGAGGAACAGCCACTTGGTAAGGAATGCCTCTTCATCCTCATTTCCTTCGAGACTGAGAAATGGGAAATGAGTAGAGTCATTTCCCATAAACCGCCGGCATTGTTGCTGGAGGTGTGGCAGCGGCAGGTACGAGTTCTTCAACTCACAGTACACCTCGAGGGGAGGCTTGCATAGTTCATCTATCTGGAGCCCGCTCAAGTATTCTTTGAGATACTGTTTTTCTTTGAACAGTGACTCTTCGTGCCGCCAGAGGTACTCAAACAGGCCCAGCCATTTAGCCGGGTGGTGGTCCAGGACAGAGGTAAACTGTTGCGAAATTTCGTGTCGGTTCTGAGAGATTAGCCTCAACCTCCTACGAACGCCAAGGTGATCATAGAGCCAGCCCTTCCACGAGGGATGACCTGCAGTCGGGGCGCTAGGTGAAACTTCGAGGTATGCCGGATGAAGAAACGTGACTTCAAGGCCTGGCCAAGTATCAGTTGGCCCCAGGAGAGCTTCCGGCCCGTACGGGTCATTGCTGTGCAGGTAGAAATCTTCTTCATCTGTCTTCCCAGTGGCATTGTTCTCTTTGTAGAGAAGAATCTGACCAAGCCTTTCACCACGTTGCCTGCTATTGTGAGAGAGGTATAAGAAATGGAGTTGGGCCCTGGATTTCTCGACGTCGACATGTTTGGGCGAAGACGGACTGTACAGAGCCTCTAAGACGGACTTGCGGACCTCCGAGACAGATGCTTCCACAGCGCCTAGATGCTCGAAAAGAGCTCTGCGGTCCGCATTGGCAACAGCTGTGGAGTCTAGGACATGCTTTTTTACGCCCGGCGGGATTGGGATCCCGGCAGTTGTTGGTAGATAGATGACTCCGTCGTTGGCAGAGACCCACAGGCCATCATTCAAAGGAAGTATAACACAAAGCCTCAGCTTAGAAATGGCTGTCTTCACTTTTTCAGTGAAGAAGAATGTCAAGAGCCGTGCAACTGCTGAGTGCCAGTCCTCGCTGGTCGAGGGCGACTTCATTCTTGACTGAGAGTTGGCAAGATCGGCCTCAAGAAGATTGCGGATGATAAAAAAATGGCATGCATGCAGCCCGTATGGTTTCAGGGCTTCAACCGAAGCCCTCTTATATGCCGTGGAGATAAAGGGGTCCAGTACAGAGTCATCGAACAGCGAGGCCCCGTCACTGTCGGCGGCAATGGTAGCAATGATGTGAACATTTTTGATTGTCCGGAGACCTCTTTTATGTCGTGACCTGAGAATGGGTGTCTGAGACACGAGGTCCTCGATCCGCTGCACCAGGCTGGACCAGAATGCGCTTGATTTATCCGTCGTGGAGGGGAGAAATTGTGGCCAGGTGTAGCACAGGCTTGGGTGCTCGCAGAATTGCAAGACGGCCTTTATGAACGCTGCGGCGATGCCATCGATGAGGCTCTTATTTCTCAAGGAAGTGGAAACGATGTCTTGTCGACTGGCGCTCGTGTCGAAATCGGAATGAATGAGGAACTATCAAAAGGACCGGGTCAGAACGCGGCAGATTCGGGAGATCGCCGTCTCCGAAAATCTCGAGGTGAGGGGGTTGCAAACCTTGAAATTTGACTCCCTGATGGGTAAGAAGGCAAATATCTCTTGCTGCTCAATGAGTGGCTGTGAGTCACTTGTCAGGGGAAACGCGAGCACCACCTCGGCTTCTGTGTTATTAGCCGAATCGCGATTGTCGCTTTTTGAGAGGTTCGTGGCCATATGGCGTGTGACATGATATTGCTTATTCTCGGTTGAGGTTTGGCTGCCGTTCCCACTCGCACTACGCGTTGAGGTGGTCTCGAGAAGAACTGTATGGTCACGCTCATCGCCTACGCGAAAGTTCTTGGAGCTCTTCAGCCCGCCATCCTCGTCGTAGAAAGCAACGCTGATTTGCCGGAGGTTGCGCAGAAACAGCAGTGAGGTATGCTGTAGCTCGCTCAACTGTCTGAAGATGGTCTGTCGGAGGTGCTCCAGCTCCTGCGCTTCCCCTTGCTCGTGGAGGTGAAGCGTCATACGGGTGAGTGGCCCAGGCAGCGCAGCGGCCTGGTTCTCCCATACGGGAAGGACCATGCCTAGACCGAGATCGCCCTTCTCATGTTTGAAGTAGAAGGAGAAGTGACCGGATTGAATGGCAACTTTCCATGCGGCGATGAAGACGGATTTGAAGCCGATGCCCTTGGCGCCAATGTAGCCACGAGAAGCTGACTTGGTGCTCTCGCCGACGGAGCAGATGGCGCGCAGATCCTTCTCGGTAAAGCCGTCTTCATTACATTCGACCACGATTCGGTGCGGGTGAACGTGGAACGAGATGGACGGAAGGACGCCGTTGGCCCTGGCGCGAGTGAAGCGATTGTCGTCAGCGTTTTGAAGCAACTCGAAGACGAAGCGTGCGTCGCTTCCATAGATGTTTTTCGCCAGGCTACATTTGACGTCAGCAAGGCCGGCAATTGAGCCAAGGTGGGAAAGAGATCGGCCCGCCGCCCTTACGTCTTGATCGAGTGCGCTGCCAGCTTGTCCTTGGCGAGCATGCTCTCCTCGATGGTCCGCCTGATGCTTGGGTTCCACTGCCCAATCTGTTCCATGATGTCTTCGCCGACGAATCCATACTTCTCTCCAATGGCCACCACGGCTCGTTTTGCATCTTGCGAGCTAGCCATGATGGCTGACTTGTGACATTCGTTGTTTAATTTGTGTCTGGTCAATCTCTTCTGGTTGTCAAGTCATAGATGAGCCAGTATGGTGGAAGGAGGACCTTTTGCACCGTAGCATGTTGGCCCCGACTGGGAAAATGAGGAGTAAATATAACCGCCATGGGACGGGCAGAGGTAAGCTGTCCGCCTGTCTTGTATGCCTTGTGCGCCTCGTAGGAGAGGTGACATGCCGTTGGTGTGGAAGCGCCGATGTGTTCACGTCCTCCAATAGACAGCAGAGGTTGGTGCAGGCATTGCGAATAGCGGCATCCACGGGCTGATGCACGAGATTGGTGGGCTGAGTAGACCCATCACCATTGTAACCGGCAGTTGGTGCTGTTGAAACATAAGCTCCTTGCAATCTAGCTTCATGATACACAACCTGGACCCTCGAGGTTGGTCGACATCTCTATCTTGTTACGGGACCTGGGAATCCTTTCAGCGTTGATCTGCTCCCGCAGGCTCGCACCTAGATCTCGGCGCAGGCTCTTCTTCGGTCTCGTGAGTTTTCAGGTCTTTGACTTGGCCCCTTTTTTAAGAATTTCTAGGGTAACTTTTTTTTGAAAATTCATAAATCTGTCCCTGCCATGATATTCTGTGTAGTTAGGACCAACC